CTGCAAGAGCCTCTCCAGGCCGGCCCTCCCAGTGCCCCGTGGCCACAGCACCACGACGCCCCCCACAGCCTGCGTCTGTGCCCTCAGTCTCCCTGTCTACGAGGACATCAGTTGTTCTGGTCACCAGGGTGACCTCATCCTGACTGTGACATCGGCAGTGACCCCACTTCCAAATCAGGCCACACTCTGGGGTTCGAGGGTCAGGGCTTCTTCGTGTCCCTAGGGGGGACCTAGTTCCACCCAGGCTCCAGTCTTCCCTCTGGTGACGCTTCCCGGGCAGCTGTGGTCAGGCCTGTGGTTCTGGAAGGGCAGATGGGGACAGAGTCCAGAGGAGGGAGGGCCAGGGTGACCTCCAGGTGAGGAGTGGCCAGGGCAGTGTCCCTGCCATGGTGACATGAGAAGGGACGAGGAGCCCACCAGAGCCTGGGGTCGGAAGGGCCTGGTGGGAGGGCGGCTGGGGCTCAGGAAGCYGGGCGGGGCCACCTGCAGGGGCTTTACCCACAACTGACCACCGGAGGCAAAGAACTCGAACTGAAACCAAAATGATTTCCCATCCTCCCATCATCCAGGAGTTTGGCATCTCACCTGAGTTGTTAATCTCGGGAAAAGTGACAGAGGACACACAGACCCCGTCGCAGCGTGGATTAAGGTGTGGGTGCTACCTCGGCCACTTCTTACTGTGTGACCTTGGAGAAGTGACCTGCCTTCCTGGGCATCAGAGTCCTGTGCCCGAGAGGGTTGAGAGCCAGCTGCGTCACCCGGCTGTGGAAGGACCCTGTGTGAGCCCAGAGGGAGGCCCTCGGCCCAGTGTCCGGCACCCGCGTGCTCCTGGGTCCACGTGGCTGTGATCCATGGAGCGTGAGCGCGTGGGGAAGCCCAGAACAGGCCACGGCCCCGGGCTTCGGGCTTCTGGGGCTCACCTTGCAGCAAGTGTCCAGGGAGCTGGCCGGTGATCCTCAAGACCAAGAGGACCGAGTGTCTGGAGAGTTTGAACTAGTGCCACCCGGGCTCAGCCAGCTTGCCCCCGGGACACTGAAAAGCTGGCTGAGGGGCCACAGAACCACCGCCTGTGTCCCCTGAGGAACGTGAGCTGCCCGAGGGGGGAGGGCCCAGGCACAGAGTCTTCCTCAATCTTCAAGGAAAAGGGTGAACGGCAGCATTCCCGGACGGGCATGTGACCATCCCTCAGGGAACGATCCGACGGCTTGGGCACGCGTGGGAGAGAGGGGCAAGGACCCGCACTCTCGGGGTCACTAGGAACCAGCCATCCCAAGCCACTTCCCTCCCGTGACGGGGAGCAGATGCCAAAGACCCAGGGGAGGGCTGGGGATGTGGCTCCAGGGGTAGCGCGCTCGCCTGGCATGTGGGTGGCCCAGGCTCGATCCTCAGCACCACATACCAACAAAGATGTTGTGTCCGCCGAGAACTAAAAAATAAATATTAGAATTCTCTCTCTCTCTCTCTCTCTCTCTCTCTTAAAAAAAAAATGACCCAGGGGAACTTAATCGTGGGAGATGTTACTAGAGACCCTCACAACAGCCTTTGGGACAAGAAACAGCAACGTGATCTTCACAGCTGGGCCGTTCCCTCTTGGGTTGTAGCCAAAGAGTCTCACATGACAATCAGCCTGAGGGGAAGGTCCCCAGAGCTGACTCCCAGGCGCCAACTCTCCGCCAACTGGGACACACGCTTGCCTTGGCTGGATCGAAGAGTCTCTTTCTCCGCTGCTCTGAATGCAGTTTCAAAGATTTCCCTGTTTGTTTTTGAAGCAGATTGGAATATTCACAACACATTTAGCATTGTTTCATATTTGCATTAAAAAAATCCCCCCCCCCAGTGGTGACATATTTAATCAAAATGCGTTGGCTGCTCCATGTCATACAGAAGCCTTCCTGGGCCTTGCTGATGAGGGGGGAAGCTAGTGGGCCAGCAGGCATCATTTTCTGCTCTTGTTGTTTTAATAAATAAATAAACACTGCACATGTGAGCTGCCCACGCGTGTGCACGTGTACACACACACACACACACACACACGTTTTCTTGGTGCCACCTATGTGTCAGGCAGTGTGCTAGGCACAGGAGATTCACAGTCATGACATTGGAAGGAAGCGACTTCTTGAGCCAAGTGCAGAGGCATTTCCCGACAGCCCAGGAGCTGCGGGAGCATGTTCGTGCCAGCTCTTGCTATACATCCTCCAAGGTTTGCAGCCACCTTACCCTTTGTGCTGGGTTTCACTTTTGAAATAAAAGCTGATCTCCTGAGAGAGGCCATAAAGGCAAAACTGCAGTCCAGACACTTTTTTTCCTAAAGCAAGGAAGGATGTTTACAAAGAAAGTCCCGAGAGAGCACATTGGGCCAAACACTGGGAAAAATCCAAATAACCTTCTCCCCTGCCCCCAACCACTGAAATGCCACCCGGCCCCCAGACAGGGCGGGCCAGCTCTCGCCCACCTGAGCCGGGCTGCTCGGGGCCTTGCCGCGGGGTGAGCTTGTGGGACCAGCTGGGTACCCTGTCCCCGCATGTCACCAGGACGTTTGTCCTACATTGTAAGTGGAGTGAAACGCAGCACGGATCGTGGCTGTTACAGGCCCAGCGCGGTCCCCCCCCCAGGTCCCCGGCAGTGCCTCACGGCTCTCCAGAGGGTGTTTTCTGGACAGACAGGCTGCATAAAACAGACACAGGAACCTCCTCTTCTTCCAGTCTGGCTGCTCAGCCCCCTGCCAGCCCTCACCGCCATCCTCCAAGTCAGCACGGTCCCATCCGTCAGGGGTGACCAGAGTCACTCAAGCAATCCACGCGGGGTGTTCACGGAAACACGGGGTCGCTCCGAGCCGCGGGGAGTGTTTGGGAGGTGGGTGCCACGCGGTCTCTGTACAGTGGCTGAAACGACTGTCTAGAAATGAGAACCTCGTCCCCTGACCTGGCGCAGCCCACCTGGATCCTGGCAGCCTCTTAGGAAGGAGCACCCTGAGATCTCTGAGAAGACACCAATGCGGGACCCCATGCATGACGGGTGACCCAAATTTCCAGGGGCTGGCCGGGGTCTCTGTGGTTCCTTAAAATCTTTCCGGGTGTTTCTGAACCGTTGGGGTGTCAAGAGCTAGGGGTCCCACATCAGAGACCTGGGTATGCAAGTTGGTTGTACCGCAGAGTTTTGAGGGAGCCCTGGGGGCACTGATGAAATTCTTTGAGTGGGGGACAGAAACTACCCAAGTCAGATACCATCCGTTAGTGCTTGGAACATAGTAGGTGCTCAGCAAATCCATCCATCCACAATTGCAGTCAATTCCTGGATGCTCCCTGCACAGATTCTCTGTCTCTCTCCCTCCGCTTTCTCATCATGATGCCATGTGTCCCCTGTGTGCCCAGTGAGTCTCACCCCCCCTCCAGGTGACATCTCAAGAGCCCTCAAGAAAGGCTTCTGTGAACACCTGCTCCTCCTAATGCTAAAGGAGATGCATACAGGTTGATGGCACTCTCAGGCGTCTCTTCTCTCGGGTGTCACCCGCCTCCTGCACTATGATTGGGTTTCATACGATCGCTTCCATTTACTAACCCACGACCACCTACAGGGCAGGGCATTCAGCTTCCATGTCTCCATGAAGGTGGTGGTGAATTCATGTGTCAGCTTGGCTGGGCCATGGTGCCCAGAAATTCGGTCAGACATCATTTTGGATATCTCTGCAGGGTATTTTTGATTGAGATGAACATGGATGTCAGCAGACTTCGAATCAAGCAAATTGTCCTCCATAGTAGGGGAGGGCCTCACCCAATCAGTCGAAGGCCTAACTAGAAGAGCAGCAACAAAAAAATTCTGACCTCCCCCAAGCAAGAGGGAATCCTGCCAGCAGGTGGCCTTTGGACTCAAATGTGGCCTTAGCTCTTCCTGGGCCTCCGGTTGGCTTTATCCACCCCACAGTTTTGGGGCTTGCTAACCTCTAAAACTGAGTGCATCTCTTAAAGTAAACCTTTGCCTTTATATGAACACATTCTGTTGCTGTTTCCCTGGAGAACCGCGGCTAGTGCAGTCACCCAGCGGAGTGGCCGCAAGTCTTGAGGACGTCAATGGTGCGGTCCGTCCTTTCCCGGGAGCTCCTGGAAGGATGTCTGGGTTCGTGCCTTGCAGAGAGCAAAGCTCTGCACACTCGTTGCTAGAAGTGCTCGTCCCCCTCCCCYTGCATCGCCACCACGGTGGCAGCTGGTTCCAGGGCTTGTGCCACCGCTGGTCTGAGCGTGGCCTGCAGCTCTTCCTCCATGACYGCTGGATGCCTTATTCCAGACAACCACCTCGGCCTCTTCCCCGACCACCGAGTGCTGAGCTGACCCCTGCTGTCCGGGGCAGCCTCTGGGCCACGTGGTTTGTAGTCGTGCCTCATTGGATGGAAGGAAGCCGTGGGGACGGGGACGGGGTGTTCCCTCTTCTTTTCCGTGAGCCCATCATGCAGCCACCCAGAAATGGGCAGGCATTAGCAGGTCGAGGGGGTCTTTTTTTTGCCTGGGTGGTGGGTGGTAGGAGAAAGCCAGTTTTCCAAACTAAGGATGTTGCCAAGACATGTTCCCGTCTACCGAGAGGCTCTGCTGAGTGAGGACAGTTTCTGAACCAGTGACAAGCCCCAGAGGAGAAATTGCCCCGATTTACTGCAAGTCCAAACAGCTTGGCTTCCGCCAGAAGGTTGGCGCTGCATTTGAAGAACAGCTGGAGCTCAGTTTGGGTTTGGGTTATGAGTCATGAGTCGGGCTGAGAAGGGTGTCTTTGGGGAGACGGGGTCTTGGGCAGGGGACCCAAGCTACGGTGAATAACCCTGACAGCCACGAGCCTTGCTCAGCAGATTTAACTGCCTCAGCTGGGCCTGTCAGTCAGCCAGGGCTGTGCAGCCTCGGGAGACGAGAAGCACCGGCCAGCCCAGGGCCAGCAGCCAAGTCCCAGGCTGACAYTGGGCCTGGATTGAGCTTCCTTGTTCCCTGGTGCCAGGCCATTCTCAGAGGCTCAGAGCTGGGCCAAGCAGGGAAGGCCACGGAGTCCTGCCGTGGTCAGAGCAGAGGAAGCCCAGCAGTCCTTCAGGGGGACAGCGTGGGCAGCGGCACACCGCAGCAGCCACCGCAATACCCACAGGCCTCAGAGGCTCGCCATGGGCCAGCCCAGGCCCTCCACGAGCTTCGGGCCTCCTGGGCAGAGTCAGTAAAGCACCAAGGCTTCCCGAGGGCTGTTCTGCTTCCCAGGCCAGCGGCTGCTCGGGTGGGTCTTGATACGGTTTTGCTTTCYCCTCTTCTTCCCGGCCTCCAATCCCTCTGCAGACGAAGACGGGGTCTGGGTCCTGGGGTCATGCCTTTCAGTACAGAAAGGCCCAAAGAAGATCAAACTCTCCATCCACCAGAAACGAGTCCTCTGAGCATGGTGACAGTGACACTCAGGATAGCTGGCTCTACGTAGGTACTGTGTAGACGCTCGGTGTAGTTCTACAGAATGAGGATTTTGCTGTTTCCCAATTTGCACTGTTTCACTTAACAATGTCACAGGGCACTTCCTCTAACAGTGACTGTGGACACACGTCAGTATGCTGTATAGAAAGGTATGGACTCAGCCACCCGTGGACGGGTGCTGAGAGTCCGCTCAGGTGAGCCTTTCCAGACCCCCCTGCCCCCCGACAGCCCACCTGATCTGCGCTCTGCCCACKACTTAGCCCTGCGCCCCGACTGTGCAGCAGCTCCTCAGTGCTGCAGATGTTCGGGGAATGACTCCGACAGAGGGCTTTCTGTCTCGTTGTCTCATCTCCTTAGGAAAATTTCCAGGAAGGAGAGTTTCAGGCTCACAGGGAGTAGGCATTGTGACATTTGTGACCCAGTGCCAGCTGACCTTCTAGCTCTGCCCACCAGGCAGCCCTCACCCTCTGCCGAGCCGGCTGTTCCCCTTGTGTCCCTCTCTGCCCGTCCAGTGGGCTGGATGCTCAACTCTAAGCCCTGTGTGTCCATCTGGGTTTGGAGGCCTCGTCTGCTCTTTCTTCCTCTTGCCAGCAGTGAGCTTAGGGCCTGAAGCAAGGTAAGTACTTAATAARTATGTCATGCAGTTGGGCCAGAATATTCATAAAGCCTGTCCCCACGCTGTGCACCCAAGGACATGCAGAGGAGCGTGYCATCAGCTCTGCCGCAGCCCACCAGGAGACCCGGTGACCCAGCAGGCCTGCACCTGTCTTTGGAGAGAAAGAGACAAGGTCGTGGGGGGGGGAATGGGAAGCCGGGTCCTCACCCGGGTGGGCCACAGAGGATGCGCCCTGGGAGCTGCCACCATCCAGGGTCATGAGGGTGGGAACCAGGAAGCAGCCAAGAGCAGGCCCGGCCCAGAGAAGGGTCTGGTTGCTGCAGCCTGGGGCCCAGCTAAACCTCAGCTGAGGACCTCCCACCAGGGACCTGCCTGGACTGGCTGGAACGCATGGCACCATCACCTCAAAACACCAAACTGGTCCCTGGAGATTGGACAGGTCTTGCCACCTCCATCAGGAAATGGCTTTACACACCCACACCCAGGAGCCAGCGGCTCAGGGGGACCCCCAGGTGTTAGAGGAAGCGGAGAATGAGGACTTAGGGTTTAATGCAAAAACAAACAGCCAGCTTGCCCTGCCCCCCCTCACCCCCACAACCTCTCATTGTCACCACTGTCTAGGTGACAAGCAGCCGAAACCAGGGAAACCTCTCCCTTCCTGCCCCCTGTGCCACCTTGTGCAGGCGGGGTGCGTGGGACACCTGGCTAAGGGTGCATGCTCATGTCACCGTGACACCCAGGGAGGCTTCGTGTGGCTTTGTCCACACAAATGGAAATTCTCTGGGGATTTCTCTGGCCATYGGGGAGGGCCGTGGTCACCTCTTCTGGGGCCACCCGGGCAGCACACTCCCACTCCCCTGTCTGTCCCCAGAGTGGCCTTCCCCGCCTGGAGGGGGCAGTGTCCCCCAGGAGAGCTGGCCAGGGCAGAGGCGGGAGGACATGGCAGTGGCCAGAATTTTCCAGTAGTTGCCTGGAGGCCTGAGGAAGGGTCTGCCTCGGGAGCACACCGGAAAGTTCCATTTGTGCTGTTGCCTCCTGCAGCTCTGCCTGGCGGCCTGCAGCTCTGCCTGGCGGCCGGCAGGTGAAGGCAGATGAAGGCTGTAATTGACATGGCCAGATCCCGCTGTCATCACCCAGCGGGCATACAGCCCGGGCCTGCTTCTCCCACAGGTGAGGCTCAGGACCCGTCCTGACGGAAGCTGGGTGGGGACAGAGGAGCTGCCATGTCAAGGATGCTGCCAGATGGCGGAGAGAGCCCCAGCGCAGCCGCCAAGTGACAGCCTCGGAAACAACGATGCAGATGGGAAGGAGCCCCGAGCTACCCAGGGTGGTCTGGCGCCAGTCACTGAATGCCTATGGGGCGGGAATGCACCCCGACAACCCCCCGAAACTCCCACCAAAGGCCTGATGTGCCCAGCCGGACCCCGCCAGAAGCAGCCAAGCCTGTACCCTGAGCCTCCTAGGGCTGCGATCATCGTCACCCTCTCTGCTGGGAAGCCAGGGGACTGAAGAGCAGGGACAGCAGGCAGCTCTGCCCAGGACTGCCTGGTCCTCAGCTTTCTCTGCCAGCACCCAGGGAGCCGGCATTCTTCACCCTGCCCCCAGGGGCCTGCTGGATTAATTGCACCCAAATGGCCAACCTCCCTCTCCTTAGCATGAGCCAGAGCCTGAGGTCTTTCCCTACTGATTCTGCACCTTTGGGCAACCTCTGGGGCTGCTGGGAAGATGGATGAGTTAATATGCAAAGAATATAGAATGCACCTGGAATAGAAGACTCATTGTTACTGCACATACCATGTAATGTGTGTATAATAAATAATATACAATACAGAGAGCATGCAGCACACACACACTCCAAAATATAATATCACACACATATAAAATGTAAATATTACATAATAAAATGTTTATGTTTATTACAGTATTGTCTATAAAATATGAATATCACATGTTAGGTTTTATGTACATGTTATATTTTATATACACATATACCATATGCAGTATATAATGATAGTATTAGTTCAACAAGTATTCATTAAGCACCTACTATGTGTAGGGAGAGAGAGGAAGRTGGGTGTGGGGAACGGGAGCCAGCTGCGGCTGAGGCCCTGCAGACAGAACAGGAGGGTGCGAGCTCCTACCGCCCCTCTGCTGTTTCAGGGCCCCCCATTAACAACATGCAGAAGGACAACAGGTGTGTTTTGCAGCCCARACCTCAGGGGACCTGTGCTTCTCCTCCCCTGGCAGAACGGTGTCCTGAGGTGGCCATGCCCTGAAGCAGGAGCAGAGACAGACCACCTGTCCCCGAACCCAGGGGCTCGAGTGAGCCTGGGCCGGTCCAGCAGCAGAGCCACCAGTGACCCACAGAGCTCACTGCTGGGCGCATGGTGCAGAGCCATAGATACTGAAGGAGCAAGGGGCAGGGCCGGTGTGAGGAGGGGACTCTCTCCTCTGACTCCTGCTGGGCAGTTCCTCTGGGTAACAGACCACAGCCGTCTGTGCTCCCCTCCACCCCTGGCCTTCTCTCCCTGGTCAGGGGGGCTCCAAGCACATGCTGCTCCCCTGTCTGCTTCCCTGGCTCTGCACCCAGCCGGCCCTGTGCATCCCCAGCCTCAGCCCCAATGGCCGGTCCTGAGAGCCGCCCTTCCTGGCCTTACCTCTGGCTCCTTTGTGCTTTTTCAAGCTGCGTTTTTCTACAGAATACTCGTCTGAATTTGTAATTATACATTTATTTTTGTGCTCCAAAAGTCCAACCCCAGAAAATCTCAAAGAGCTTTTGCATCTAGACATTATAAAAGACAAAGAACCTTCCTCCCAGTCCCTTGCCCTCTCTATGGGTTTCTTTAGATCCCTGGTTCTCAGCACGTGCTGGTCCTGGATCCACATCAGTGGCCTCACCTGGGAACTTCTTGGATTCCGCCCGGGGTTACAGGATCGGGAGCTCTGGGCTAGAGCTGAGCACTCAGGGCCTGGCCTTTGAATGACAGGCGGCAGTTTGAGAACAGGGGGCGTTCGGTGTGGGGGGGGGACTAGGGAAACAAGGGACAGGACCGTGGGGGCTTGGAAAGACAGTGGGCCACGCCCCTTCTGCTGGGTTTGGGGGAGCTAGTGGGTGGGGAATGCCAGGCAGGTGTGCAGGGGTGGGGCTGAAGGGTCAGGGCTCCTGGCAGTGTGTCTGCATTTCATGACAGAGGGAGGCCAACCCCCCACACACACCCCTAATAGATGAGGAAACCGGACTTTAGCAGGATTAGGTAACAGTCTCCACCCTCACACAGCCAGGTTGTGGCAGGGTCAGGACGGGACCTCTAGTCCATCAATCCCCAGGGTTGGTAGGGTCAGCTGCCAGCCAACTGTTCAACTGCCAGCCTCATTGTTATCTGGGAACACAGTCCACTCTTCTTAAAGATGCAGCGAAATGATCACCTCCGCAGAGAAATACTCAGGCCCTGCCTGGCCTCTGGGTGGGCCGGTGGGGTGGAGGGAGCTGGCCAGGCTTGGGGTAGCGGGCAGGCTCGGCTGCTGGACTCCACTATTCTCTTTCTCTCCCTTTTGTTCCAAACACTCAGGGCGAGGCCAGGGGCACAAACAGCACCCGGCAATGCATCTCCCCAAGTTTATTTACTAAAACAACATTATGACCAGGACGTGTTCACAATGAAAATATGACAGCCTGCGTTTCTTGTCGCCACGGATCTTTAATTCGAGCCTGCCTCAAGGTTTTCTATAAACCAGGGCTTCCTGGCCCCCCATGTGATTCCTGCACGCGAATGAGTGACGGCCCGGGCTGCTCTTTTCTCATCTGGAAAGGCTGCAATCGCTGTGTGTAAATGGGTRGAAAATGCTGATATTTGGATTCTATAAATAGCTCGCCTCGCCAGGCAGCAGGGCTGGGTTTCATCTGCGCGGTCTCCTTGGACTGTTTGGGGCCTTATCACTTCTATCCAGGGTGCGGCATACAAATGAGCCCCCGCCAAGTGCGGATTTGGGACATTTGGGCGCATCTGCGGGTAATGAGGGGGGCTGCCGCGGTGTGCGAGYGGCGGCCCGGGATGCGCACGAGCCTCCCCGGAGGGGAGGCAGCGCGCACGGCCCCTGCGCCCCACTTCCATTTGCAGCCCGCGCCGCCCGCCCGCGTGGGAGGAGGTTCTATCTATAGYGCGCTATTTTTAGCCGCATCATCTGAGAACCTGACAGCAGTTAATGACTAGGGCTCAGCGCGTTGCTGTGGCTGCTGCGCCCTGGAGTGCGCACGGCGGGACCAGCTGCGCCGAGCCCACGGTGTCGCATCTGCAGACGCCCTTTCTTCCCCGGGGAGGCAGGGTTGTTGGGGAGGGCCATTTGGGGGGCATCGCCCCCCATTTTCTGAGAATGCTCCTCTGGCAGGGAGGGGCTCTCTTGTTCATTTCTGCGGCGAGTGCACGAGCGGCATCTGATGCTGCTGCCACGGTCTGGTCTGGAGAGGTGCAGRACAGGAATGGCTGGGGAGGACGCCCCGGGAGCTGGGAAAGGACTCTCATTGCAACTTGAGGAGATGGAAAACTTGGGGAGAAGACCGGGACACAGTCACCCTGATTCAGAAAGTGTATYCTTAAGGAAGGAAAATTCAGAGGCTCTACTGTGCTACTTCCCAGCCTTGATTGTATAGATCAGGTGCCATATGCACAGAGAGGCCCAGGGATCTGCCCAGGAACACACAGCCTGCATCTGCTGCCCAGAACCACGTTACAAGTCAAAGGACTGGTGATGTCCTGGGAACAAACACTAGAAGGTGTTCAGTGTGCGCACCTGTTCTCTCTGTCACCCTGCCTGCTAGAGGTCAGGGTGGGCTGGCTGGCTGAGCACCAGGAAATCAGATTTACAGCAAGGGGTGTCCTGGAAACAGCCAGTGTCTGGTGGTGCCAGTTGGGAAACCTGGGGACCTTCTCAGACATGGCTGGGGGTTAATGCTGCAGATGTGCCCAGGGAGAGTCCTCCTGTCAGACTTCCTAGGTAACACCACGAACCGATATGGACAGCAAGAGGGCACCACTCTGAGCAGGTTACACATATCAGCTTTGCATTCCCACTGGGACCACTACTACCTCATTTTACAGAGGAAAGAGAGTCTCAGAGAGGCTAAGTAACTTGTCCAAGGTCACACAGCTAGGGAAAGGAGGGTCTGGTATTGAAACTGGGGCTGCCTGGCCCCAGAGTTGGTCACACCCTTAACCCTCTTCCACATTGCGTCCGGTTCAGGCCCATCTGAACTGCCTCACTCAGCCCAGCCAGATTTAAGAAGCTGGACATGTGAATAGGCTCCCTTACTCTTGGGCACCTCTGGAGCAGTGCTGTCCAATCGCGACCCTGTCCAGATGATGGAAACATTCTAGACCTGAGCCATTCRGTACAGTAGCCACTAGCTGTGACTTTGAAATTGCCAAGTTGGACTGAGAAACTAAAATTTCAATTTGGTTTAATTTTAATTAGTTTCCATTTCAGTAGCTACTGGTGGCCTCTAGAATACTAGCCACACAGAGCATTTAAATATGASCACACCGGAACCTGTTCCCAGAGATTTTAGTGGTCTGGGGTGAAACCTGGGCAGGGTTATTTTAAAAGATCTCCAGGTGAATCTGATGTGCAACCAAGTGCTTGATGTCCATGACCTCCAGGGTCATCCTGGCCTCTGGGAAGCAGTCCTCTGTTCATACTGTGTGGGTGRTGTAGGTGCCTCACTCAATACCAATTCTACCCCATTAAGCCTTGCCTTCCTCTACTATGGAGACTTGGAGAGCTAAATGCTTGGTTTATATGATGGATGTGCAGCTGGAAGTGGAATACTGTTCTGGCTAAATAAATGAAGTAGAATTCTGCTAGTGGTGTTTTATCAACCTTCTTCTTCCTACTKGAGGTGAAACTAGATGTCCAGAGCTGTGGTGACCATCTTACACCATGAGGGAAGACCAAGAGATGTGCTGGCACCACCTTGATATCACTGTTACTGAGTCAAACCAGCAGTTGCCCACTTTTAGACTTCTTGTTCTGGGGTGCGTGTGTGTATGGGGGGCAATCTATTTGTTTGAGTCATTCTRTTTATGTTTTCTGTTTCATACACTCTAAAGATTTCTAATACGACTACTTCTATTTTCTTTGGCTTTGAAATTATTCAAGATTAAACATGTTGAAGTAAGTGAAATGACTTTGCAAACTATAAAATACTCAGGAAATGGACAATGTTTGGGTTTGGTTTGGAAATATTGCCAAACTTTAGGCAAGAAATCCAACTATGCTATACCAGGACAAATTGGGGGGGGTTCTCCACGGGGACTTCGTGAGGCTGAGTCCTGGAAATAAGTGAATTATTTGTCCTGCTTTGCCAGGACATTCCCAATGTTGGCAGGGAAAGTCCTGTGTCCTAGAAAAGCCCTCCGTCCTGGGCAAACCAGGGTAGTTGGTTGTCCTCCCTGGAAGTTTGGGGCCCAGGGACTCATCCTCCAGACAGAACACCTACTTTGGAGCAGCTCGCTAGCCGACCTCAAAAGACTMGGCGGCTTCTTGCAGGAAAATCCATCAGCTGAGCCAGAACATGCCTCTCTCAGCATTTCGCCTCTGGTTGCTGGTAGTGGATCAGTGGCTCTGAGGATCACTCTTGCTTCTCCTTCTGAGCCCCCGCTGCTTCTTTCTCTGAGAGGGAGGGAGTGTGTGGAATTCTGCCGCTCCTGGGGAGGCAGGCTGGCTGTGAATACGTGCCCTGCTGCCCACACAGGGACCTGCCCAGGTTCAGCCTTCCGAACACAGTCCCCTGGACTGAACCATATCTGTTGGTCTTTGGCTACAGTCCTGATTCCACATCCCCAGCTGTTCACCCCCACTCTGCCTCTCC